TGGGTGGGGGGGGAGAGAGTGCTTCACTCACAGTGAGGGAAGGAATGGAGTTTTGGGGGGTACTGAGGAATGTGGGGGGCAGAGACCTTTGGATCTCTTTTGGAAGCTGGGCTATGCGTCGGAGGGGTGAGTTCATGGGGAGCTGGGGGAGAGAAAGGGAGAGAGGAAGGGTAGGTGAACACAGACCTAAAATTCCATGTCCACAACTCGAGAGGAGGGGTGGGGTGGGGAGAGATGGGGGAGACGGAGGGAAGGGACCACACGGGCGACGAATGTCAAGAAAAATTTTTTTTAAGTAAAATATAATTAGAAAGAAAAACAGAGTCCGGTGCTCCCCCTCCCCCTCCCCCCTGGGACCTTTGTCCGTCTGTCACCGTGGCTGGAAATGTGGAAGAGATCACACGGGGTTGGGCCAATGCCCGTGGGTCACCCACGGCCATCTGTGTCTCAAGATCCTCCCACACACACACACACACAAGATCACAACCCCTGGAGCTCGAATTCTGGTCCCTGTGAAGCCACCGTCCAGCGTTCTGTGGATGTGCCGAACTTCCAACACATGTCCTTTGACTCCATCACCAGCACTATGGAAGGAGAGCGGCGATGGAAAGAGTTCGAATGGCTGGTGGCCACGCCCCACCACCCCTGACCCCTGCCAGCCATCCACCTCCCAGACTGAGCCGCAGAGGGGTGACGGGAGACCCCGAAGGGCTCACCTCCCCAAATCCCATCAGAACCAAAGGCTAGTTACGAAACATTTCTTCTTTTATTTTCTTTTTAAAAATCTATATTTTTGTTCTGGTCCTGGGGTTGTCCCTGAGCTTCTTGGGTTTTTTTTTTTTTTTTGCTCAAGACTGGCGCTCTACCATGTGAGCCACACCTCCAGTCTCTGGCTTTTTGGTGGTTAATTGGAGATTACAGTCTCTCTGGAATGGCTTTGTGCCTGGGTCCTCAGAGCTCAGCCTCCTGAGTAGCTAGGACGGTAGGTGTGAGCCACCGGCGTCGGCCAACGGCACCCCTTCTTCTTTTGAGCATTAAACTTTGGTTGCACTCTGTCATGAAAAACAATGATTATAGCTGGGTTCCAGGGGCTCACGCCCGTCATCCTAGCTACTCAGGAGGCTGAGATGTGAGGATCGCGGTTCAAAGCCAGCCCAGGCAGGAAAGTCCGTGAGAATCCTCAGAGCCCTTTTCTAATCACACAAAGCAGCGTAGCCAGCCTCGGGGTACGGGTCTGGAAAAAGCCAGCTGGACCGTAGAAGGTGGGGAGCTGCCTAAATGTATTTCAGCTGGGGCAGGCCTGGCTGGGACAGGGACAGAAGCAGGGGGGAATATGGACCCTGGGTCGTAGTGGCTCCATCTTGTCCTCACTACCATCTTGGCTTCGTATCGGGTGACGGGGGCCACTTGCTTTGCTTCTGTAAACACTTGCGCTAAGATTCCTTCCCTTGTACCGATCCTGTAGGCTTTGCCTTTATAAGCTTTGTTACTAGCTGCATTCAGGGCTCTGATTTTTTTTGGGGGGGGGACAGGGAGGACATGAATCTTCCCTCAGTCACCGGCTTTGTAATCAAACCCCCCCACCCCACAACTCAACCTCTCATAAAATGATGCTCCTTCTCTCCCTCCCGCCGATCAAATTCCTGTATAATACCCAGAAGGTCTGAGGCCAAAAGCACTCTCTCTCTCTCTGCTTCTCTCTGGGGGCTAGCAAACTTAACCCACAGCAGTGTTTTCTGCCAGTCCAACCATCCAGTCCCGTTAGGGGGAGGGGGAGGGTGGGAATGAACGGGGTGGGAGGGACTGTGTGGGCCTGGGGTCCAATGCCCATGCCCTGGGGAGGGGGTCACCCTCCCCCAGGAAAGCCAATCAGCTGGGTGGTTGGACAGTGGACACATGCGTCACCTCTGTCACTAGCTGTGAGTACCCCAACCCTTCCTCGTGGGGGTCCTGAGATACTCTGGGAACCCCCGTGACAAGCATCCCTGGCCGGGTGCCGGTGGCTCACGCCTGTTCATCCTAGCCGCCCAGGAGGCTGGGATCTGAGGATCATGGTTCGAAGCCAGCCTGGGCGGGAAAGTCCGTGAGACTCTTTTCTCCAATCAAGCATCATAAGTCAACATGGAGCCGTGGCTCAAAATGGTAAAGCAAAAGCAGCTCGGGGACAGCGCCCAGGCCCTGAGTTCAGGCCCTAGGACCAGCACGTGTGCACGCACACACACACACACACACACTAAAAACGGGCAGCCCTTATCCAGAGTCACTGGTTTGTTGAGATAGTGCTCGGGGAGCATTTTGTTCCAGAGAACAAAGGAAGGATCTTATAAGACCTAGCTGTTATAAGAACTCCAAGAACCACTGGAATCACACAAAAATAAAGAGCTGTTGACCCAACAAGGCAAAGACAGGTTCCACCATCAGCCCGAACTCCAGCCGGCGAGCACACAGGGTGGGCAGGCCGCTCCCCTATTTATACCTAACACCTCAGGACCCGCCCCTCTGCCCTGATTGGCTGAGCTCAGGTTCTCGACCTGCTTGTGATTGGCTAGTTTGAATAAGGTGAGATGTATTTACACAGGGTGACCATTAAAACACTTTGAAATAAGATGAACAGTACACGAACCATACCACCCTCTCTGCCATTTCCAGAACAATCTGAGGGGTGTCTTAATTCCATCTTTGGGGGAAAAAAACAGCTTAAGACAAAACCTCACACTTCAAAAACCCTCCCTTTTAGCCTAAAACCGTACCTCTGTGTGCGTGTGCATGCATGTGCGTGTGTGCACATGCATGTGTGTGCATGTGTGTGCGTGCGTGTGCACGTGTTTGTGTGTGCATACGTGTGTGCATGTGTGCGCGTGCATGTGTGTGCATGTGTGCATGTGCATGCGTGTGTGCGCATGTGCGTGTGTGTCTGCATGCATGGTGTGTGCATGCATGCATGTGTGTGCATGTGTGTGCACGTGTTTGTGTGTGTGCATGTGTGTACATGTACATGTGTGTGCATGTGTGTGCACATGTTTGTGCGCATGTGCGTGTGTGCGCGTGTGCGTGTCCGCATGCATGCGTGCATGTGTGCGCATGTGTGTGCACATGTTTGTGTGTGTGCGTGTGTGCATATGCATGTGCGCGTGCATGTGCGTGTATGTGCGTGCGTGCATGTGCACGTGTTTGTGCGTGTGTGCGTGCACACATGTGTGCATGTGTGTGTGTGTGTGCACGCCCCATTCCTCTTTTCCTTAGCAGAATAATCCAGGAGAGCCAAGGTCCAACGCAGTCACTTTCCCGCCCACCACTTCCTTAGGAAAGACAGATTTTCCTCACACAAAGGAAGCGAGCCTTGAGCCGGTCGGCTGATGGTTCCCTTGTCTGGTGTGGTAGCCTCCCTCCATAGCTGAACCCCCTGCCACGTGTGTGGGTGTTGGGGGGTCACACTGCCCCGCCCAGCTCTCGCTTGCTTGCGCCTCACCATGTGAGATCGCTTTGTATAACCAGCACCTTGAGGGATGGACAGATCCCTGGGACGGAAGATGGACCTCGTTTACTCTCAGCCTGGATCCGCCCTGGGTGGCTGCACCCTGGGGGGGGTTACCCTGGGGCTCCCTCTCCAAAGCCCCATCTGCTTCCTGAGACACCCCTAGATTCCCCTACCCTCCCTGCTTCGCCGGTGCTTCGCCAGAAGCTCAGCAGGCTTTGTACCCCAAAACTGTACACTTAGCAGCCTGGCTGACAGACGTGGGCAGTCGATCTCCCTCTCTTGGGAAAATGGACACCGTTTTTGGAACAGAGACGGACTTCAAACATAGTTCCGATGCCCGAGGCCCACCGAGGTATGCTATTAGGAAGCGGAGCGTCCATGAACACCGCCGCCTCCCCCCCAACCCCCAATCCCTGCAGGAAACAACTTGGCCAACTTCTCAAGGGGTTTTTATTTTTATTGGCACCAGCTGTTTGCACCTGCTGGGAACAACTCGGAGGCAAAGGCTTCCTGGGCTCTTAGGAGATCTGGGGCAGGAAGCCAAACGGGTATTAACCCAGCGTGAGAATGGCCAAGGCAAAGCCCCCCACCCCCACCCCAGAGCCTGACAGACATCGCATGCCATTAGGTGGTGACGTGATCCAGAGTTTTGTGTCCCCCGGGGAGTTTGTGGGACACCCCCTCCTCCCCCCCCCCGAAAACCAGGCCTCTTGCCTGCAGCTGTGTTGGTCATGGGTACAAGGAAGGGGGGAGGGGGAGCTAAGGCCTCCTGGGGTAACTTCTGCCAGCCTGGGCAGAAAGACCAACGGGGAGATCAGAGAGACTCTGATCTCCAGGAAACCAGCAAAAAGCAAAAGCCAGAAGTGGAGCTGTGGCTCACGTGGTAGAGCGCCAGCTACCAGCTTTGCGTGAAAAAGCTCAGGGACAGCACCCAGGCCCTGCGTTTAATCCCTGGCACCAATAAAGGAAAATAAACTACGAGAGACAGAGTCGTTGTTGCTACCTGGTTGGCCAACGCGGTGGGGAACTGCTTGCTGGCAATATGGCCACACAGATCCACACACATTCCTGTGTGTGTGTGTGTGTGTGTGTGAGTGCACCAGTCCTAAGGCTTGAACTCAAGGCCTGGGCGCTGTCCCTGAACTTTTGTGCTCCAGGCTGGCACTCTACCCCTTGAGCCACAGCTCCACTTCCGGTTTCCTTGGTGGTTCCTTGGAGATCAGAGTCTCATGGACTTTCCTGCCTGGGCTGGCTTTGAACCGCGATCCTCCGATCTCAGCCCCCTGAGGGATGATTGCTGCTCCGGATAGAAGCATCTGGAAGCCCCCCATGGCCCACCAGTGCTGGGGGGGGGCCAGACAGGGCATCTGGATCCAGGCCAGTCTGTGTATGATGGACAGACAGAGGAGACACCAGACAACGCAGAGTGACCACACCCGCCGAGCACTTCCTCCAAGGCCTGGTCGTGTCTGTCTCTCCACCAAGTGTCACCCAGTCCTCCTCCCCCTCTCCCCCATGTCTTCCCCCATCCAGAGAGCTGTGATCTCCCCTCCCTGCCGAATTCCCACTGTGTCCCCCCTCCCCCCGCCCTCACTGGGCCCTCAGAAAATCTCTAACGGCACCAAGGATCCCATAAAGTCTACGACCCAATCCGTGGGATCACAGTCCTTGCCGATCCACCCCCCCCCACCCATAAAGCCAGGAAGGGAGACACATGTATATGTGTCTCATGTGTAAATGCCCAGGGGGAAAAAAATCCAGAACTGTGGCTCTGGAGGGAGAATCTGCCTGGTTGGGTGTAGAAGTCCAAAGCGAGGGGTCACTCTGGGAACCCCAGGATGGAGGCCGCCCCGAACCCCCGGTTCCCAGAGGAAGGCTGTGCTGAGGGAATTGCTCTCACCCCGTCTTTGGACGGTCCAGTTTCTAACTGATCAGTGCGTGGATGCCGCCATTATCATGAACTCTACACCTGTCTCCCCAGAGCCAGAAATGGGGCAGGCGGGGGGGGGGTCATCTCAGACTTGAGAAAATAAAGGGGGGTCCACTGGGGGCCCATCCAGAATCACAGCAAGGGAGAAGATCTCCGACTGGCCCTCCTCTCCCACCGCCCCCCTCCGCCCCATCTCATGGACACAGATGTCAGGGTGCTCAAATGACGCTTGTGTCTGAAATTGGGGGCCCCCCCCGGGCATTGTTTCTCACTGGACAAAGTCTGATTTTTTCCCCCCTTTGAAGTCTGCACAGTCATTGGGGGGAATGTGAGAATTTTCTAGGCTAGATAAGACCTTCAGGGCTCAAGTATCAAGAGGCTCTTGGTGGGGGTGGCTGGGCCGGGAAAAAGAGGAAGCAAATGTTATGGTTTATTACTCTTCCCCCCTCCTCCAGGAAGCAGTAACTCTGTCTCACGAGCTGAACTACAAAAGAAGAGACCCACGGGGCGCCGGTGGCTCACCCCTGCCATCCGGGAGGCTGAGACCTGAGGATGGAGGTTCGAAGCCAGCCTGGGCAGGAAAGTCCGAGAGACTCTGATCTCTAAGGAACCAACCACCAGAAAACCGGAAGTGGTGCTGTGGCTCAAGGGGTAGAGTGTCCAACTGGGGGGAGGGAGGAGCTCAGGGGCAGCGCCCAGGCCCTGAGTTCAAGCCCCGTGACCGACCGTAAACACCCCCCAAATGAATAGAAGTAGTGGCTGATAAGTGTGAGATCCCTGTCGTCTAAGACAACCTGAGACCAGAGAGCTGAGAGCTGAGGTTTGGGACCAGCAGAGTGCACGGACATACTAGTCCCTCACTTTTTCAGCTCCAACGCACTGCACGCCGCACATCCTGTTCCCGGTGCTTCTTTTCTATGTGCGTCTTCGCTACCCAACCCCGCCTTGGACACGAAGAACTAGGGGTGGAGGGGAGCAGGGGAAAGGGGGGGACCGGGTGCCGATTCCGTACCGATTTTGGTGAGCCACTTGGCCACGGCACCGTAGATCTCGTCCAGGATGAGGATGACCACGAGGTTGATGATGACGGCCGTGGCGGTCACCGTGACCCGCACATTGGAGCGCGTGGCCTTGTTGAGGGACAGAGCGGCCGCCATGGTGATGCGGTACACGATGACCCCGAAGACGATGGAGAACGTCAGGGCGATCTGGCCGGGAAGACGGGAGAGGCCGTGACCGAGTGCGCCATTATTGAGCACCTACGGTGTCCCACTGGGCCCACCTGGAGCGCCTGTCTGTCATTGAGCAGTTATGGAGCACCAATTGGTCAGCAAAAAGCTACACCGGAGGCGTGGCTCATGCAGTAATGTACCTCGCCAAGCAAATAAGCTGAGCAACCCCAGGGTACCAATAAAAACCACCACCGCCACAACCAAATCCTTTTCATGGCAAACCTGATCCTGTCTGAAGCACTCTGAGGTAATTACCAGCTCTTGGGAAACTGATCATCCTCAAGAAATCTCATACAGATGGGTAAGTTAATGCCTTTAGTTTGGCTCTCTTGTTGGTCACTAACACAGCTGAGTGTTACACACACACACACACACACATTCTAAAACCGGGTGCCGGTGGCTCACACCTGTCATCCCAGCTACTCAGGAGGCTGAGATCTGAGGGTCACGGTTCAAAGCCAGCCCTGGGCAGGAAAGTCTGAGAGTCTTATCCCCAATTAATCACCAAAAACTGCAAGTGGAGCTGTGGTTCAAGGGGTAGAGCACCAGCCTTGAATGGAAAAAAGCTCAGGGGCAGCGCCCAGGCCCTAAATTCAAACCCCCGGACCGGTGCCCAAAAAACATAAATAAGTTCTCCCAAACACAGAGATAAATATAGCCATGACTAAAGAACCAGGCTTAGAAAGCTGAGCACACACCTGTAATCCTAGCTACTCAGGAGGCAGACATTGGGAGAATCACGGTTTGAGGCCAGTTGGAGCCAAAAAGCTCATGAGCCCCTCCGCCGCCCCCATTCACAACCAGTAAACGCAAAATCAAACCAGATTCAAAGGCCCCATGCCTCTCTCCTGTGGCTTCCTGTCCTACGTCACAAACCACCAGGAAGAAGCCACTCCTGACTTCCTTCAATCCCAGCAGACTGGCCCAACTCTGCAGCCATTTTTCCTAGAGTTTGAACTCAGTGCCTGGGCACTGTCCCTCAGCTCTTCAGCTCAAGGCGGGCGCTCTACCCCTTGAGCCACAGCACGACTTCTGGTTTTCTGGTGGTTCATGGGAGATAAAGAGTCTCACAGACTTTCCTGCCCAGGCTGACTTTGAACCGTGATCCTCAGATCTCAGCCTCCTGAGTAGCTGGGATGACAGGCGGGAGCCGCCGGCCCCCACCTCCTCCCTCTCTTGAGTTCTAGGCCTGGCAGTAGGAAAGGTTCTCTCTCACAACCTCTCCCTGGTCTACTAGCATCCGGTGTGTGGGATCACGGGCCTTCACCCTGGCCCAGATCTTCCTGCGTGGTACGCGCTGTTACCCTCCCAAAATAGGCAGAGTAACACGGGACAAAGCCCCACGCCCACGGCCCCTGGGCAGGGAGTTACCATGAACAGGATGGACGCGAAGTTCATCAAGTAGCCAGGGAACCGGTCTTTCCAAGTCAGTTTGTCTTCATCCTGGTGGGAGAGACGAGAGGAGGAGCAAGATCAGAAATAGGCGTTAGTGAATTTGCTCGCCACGATGCATAAATCTGCATGTCGTTAGCATCGGTCACTCTCTACGGGTTCTAATACCCAGCATGCACTTGACTTATTTTCGCTTATTGATTGATTGATGGAGTCATTTGTGGGGCTTGAACTCGGGGCCTGGGCGCTGGCCTTCAGCTCTTCAGCTCCAGGCGGGCGCTCTACCCCTTGAGCCACAGCGCCACTTCCGGTGTTCTGGTGGTTCATGGGAGATCAGAGTCTCATGGACTTTCCTGCCCGGGCTGGCTTTGAACTGCGATCCTCAGATCTCAGCCTCCTGAGTAGCTGGGGTGACAGGCGGGAGCCACCAGTACCCAGCCCGTGTCCCATTCTTTAAAACACACACACACACACACACACACAGGTGCAACATGTCCCGCCCGGCGGGGGTGCCACGCCACACTCCCTTCGGCCACCGGGGCACTTCCTGCCTTTTGTTCTTCCTTTTCTCAGACGATGATGACTTTGATGAGCGCAGGTTCCTTCGCTGAACCAGGAGGAGTGTTGTTCTGTTTATTTTCCGTGTGAAATTCGCATCCACGCGTAGGCTATGGGCATCTGGGTCTCTCAGACCCTCCTCCCGATGACTGCTTGTCCTGATCTGTTTTCAGCTCTGAACTCCGTCTGCCCCCGCCGCGCTCCTGGCCCACCAAGAGGGACGTCTGGTCCTCTGGTAGAACCACGAGGTTTTGCCAGGGTATTTTTGCCTCCCTCCCTCCCTCCCTCCCTCCCTTCCTTCCTTCCTTCCTTCCTTCCTTCCTTCCTTCCTTCCTTC